GAGTATATGCGGCCCCAAAGGGTATGGTTTTTCGGCCATTTTGGTCATAAATAGGGTTTCGACTTTTCTGGAAGTTCCCGCCCCGGGATTTGGCCATGTCCGGCCAATTCTGTTGTCCCATAAAATCTCAATCCTGTCTTCAATAGGACTGACTAACCTAGCTTGCTCGAACCGCGCAGGAGAATATTGGTCCGCCCTCGGTCAGTATTCCACAGCACAGCCTGTCCCACCTTTTTCCGCCCTGATTATGGCTCTGTACTATCCAGTATGGCTTGTGTTTTTAGCCGATTAATCGGGCGCTCTGATTGGCTAACTGTAGGGTATTGTTGTCCCGAAATGCGCACGGGCCGATTATGGGCCTGCAAGCCATATAATAAACAACTGATTAACCTCGAACGTTCGGTCATTACGGGAAAATGTCAAACCTCGATCTTGCCATATTGTCAACTGCGTATTTTCGCGATTTCAAACTTTTCGCCATTAATTTTGGCAGTTTTATTATCAGAAAAAATAAAAAAAAAGTTATTTGGCGGCTTTGCCGGGCTGCATCGAGCCGGAATATCTTTGCCCTTTGACAAAGCTTTTCGCGATATGGATCTCTCGCGGCTGAAAGAAGTATGTAATGACAGCCTGAGAGCAGTCGGAGCAGACTAATCCTATTCGAGATTTGGATCTCGAGGTTAGGAAGGAAGAAAAAAGGTGTCACCGTAAGCTTTTCTCACTATCAGTTCCTTCCCTCTCGACAGTTTCTTTTCTCTTACCAGTTCTTTGTCCCTCAAAATCTTTTCCCCTCTTTTTCACGTAATTTTCTTTTCCCTTCGTTGTAATCCGGGGAAAGAAAACAGGATACAGGTTTCAGGAAACAAGAAAAAAGTAGTCAGAACACAGTAACTTGATTATCTATATAAGCACAAAAGACCTTTTTTTCCAGATGTCGAAGAAAAACAAAAAGCAACGAGTTTTGTCTTGGGTGCTAGGTAGTAAAAATTTTTAAGAGAATCAAGTGTGTAAATTTATTGTAAAACAAATAAAACAAAGTTCATCCGTGTTAAGTTAATCTGAGTCTTCTTCCTTCTTTACTTTCTTCTTCTTCTTCTTTTTCTTCTTTTCTTCACTCTTTGGCGTCTGTGGGGAAACAAAATTACAAGTTTAATAACTTTAATTGGAAATACTTAGCTCTTAACAAATTGACGTCTGTTTTTCATGCGTCTGTCCAGTTATTGAACATGAATTTCGCCATAACATTGTCAAAGTAGCTGTGGATCCGCAGTATAATAACACTAGGGTTTCAACGGTATGAGGGAAAGAGGTGGCTAAACAACATTTTGCTATAAATTTTTATCAGTTTATGTATTAGTTTAATGCAACAAAGACCTTTTTATTATTCTTCACGTGCGTTTTGCCATTAACCGTTGCAATAATTTTAGGTGGGGCTGTAGAGCTCCGTGCAATACATTACTGTATTGCCCAGTCCCTGTGTAGCATTTTCCCAGGGCTTCAGGGTCCAAACGGTCGGGAACAGACTTGTCGCCTCGGACCACGTGACCCGAAAATGATCGACCAAGGCGAATATTGAGGCCTAGGAACTAGGCTTTCCTTTAAACAGAAAGCATTGAAAACCGTCAAAAGGTCTATTTCTCACCGCAGCTGAGGTGTCCATTTCTTCGTCATCAGATTATCGAACTTCCTCTTCCTTCTTCTTCTTTTTCTTCTTTTCTTTCTTTGTTTTCTTTGCTGGCGTTTCTGCATCATCTAAACAACGGAAGCAACAACTCAAAATGTTAAGAAGGATAAGTTAAGATAAAAACTAGCAAGACCTTCTCGGCGCTTGCTTTGTATTGGTTCACGCATCACCACAAGATTACTTGAGAGCAAAAGACACTTTCACAGTTAACTTTATTTCTCCAATTATAAACTTAACCTGATCATAGTCAACTCCACTACATTTTTTTTTTTTTTTTCAAATCTAATCTCTATATTCAAAATTACTCAAGAGAAAAAGGGACTTTCGCAGTCAACTTTATTTCTCCAATTATAAACTCAACGTGATCATAGTCAACTCCATTTTTTTTCAAATTTAAGCTCTATATTCTACTTATGCTCTAAATTCTTCCCTACTCACAGACCTTCCTCGGTGGTAAGCGTGCTCGGTGTAACTGGGACGCTGTGGCCTGGTGCCACCTCTCCATTTTCCTCTGATCTCTTTCTCTTCTTTCCGGGTGTGGCAATTGTTGAGTCAGTAGCAGGGTTGTACGACATCACCACGCTGTTGTACAAAAAAGAAAACGAGATAAAATAAGTGAAAAAATTCTCTGCTGACAATTTTTTGGGGACACTTGTCAGAAGAATGATTAAAATGACATCTCTATTTGCAAGCTTATAATCAAGATTCATAATTTTGTTGAATGATCAAGAGAGGGTCTACGATCTGACAGTGAAGATTTCAGAGTGATAGAATACTCAACTGACTTCCTCGAAGAAACATAATTATGGCTGACTGGTTTTTAGTATCCATTATAAAATAGATAGGACCCCGCGCACGCTCTCATTGGTAAAAAACTCATGTTTTATCAGAGTACAAAACATAGAAAAGGCGTGCTTTATTGTTTTTCGCCACGTTACCTCTATATCATCAAGCAAATGAAGAAGCCTAAGCCGTGTATTATACTGTGATAAAACACTCTGGGAATTTGAGAACACTCGAGAAATGTAGAAAACACTTGCCTGCGGCTCATGTTTTCTACATTTCAAGAGCTGAAAAGGGGTTTCTAGTGCTGCTTGTACAAGTCAAAGCACAAGGAAGTGAAATAGGTTGTGACTGTTTGTCTTCATACCTCTTGTTTTCGTACTTGTCCACTCGGGCTTTGGTCTTGCCAGTTCCACTGATTCTTCTTAGCTGCAAAAATAAAAATTCTAACTTACACTCGTTTTAATCTGTTACAGCCTCTTTCTAAAGACAGGCTGCATGACATACCCAGA